TTACAATTTTATACTATTATTCATTTGCTCTTTCTAGTGCTTTACACACATAATTTTCAAAAGATATTTGTCTGCATGTGCGTTTTGGTGCGTGTTGCTGTATTGAAAGAAGCAAAAGTGATTTGCTGAAGGTGATGCAGTGGGCACATCACAGAGCCAGGCGAACAGCTTGGGGAAGTTCCTGGACCACAGCTGTCGCTGGGAATTTTGGCACAAGCTTCAGCTGGGCTGTAATTTCATCCTGGACTTTTGGAGTGGATTTAGCTTTTCCCCTGAAGTTTCACAGATATAAAGTTGGTGTTCAGATGATCATCTGCTGCTGTTTGTAAAAGGTTTTAGATAAGCCGGAGCTCATATTACCCAATAATCAGCTAATCCTCATTAGGTTACTGTGATAGCTATAATAAGTCTGGATATGAAGATATGCTGAAGATTCTTAGATCTCATTAACTGGTAATTTTGTCTGTAGTAGACTAGCCTTTTTTCTCTGTCTCGAGGAGGAGACAATGTCTCTTTGTGGTTTGACTTTAGACTGAATGCAGAAAAGGAGTTTAAGGAGAGGTTACACAACCCAGGCCATGTTTTCGGATCGCCCCTCTGGCTGGCTGGGCGAGCGGCTTTAGCTGTGCTCTGTATGTTAGAGCTATATTTATCACGTAGGAATGGCAGGCATGTGAATTCGTGCTCTGACCAAAACAGTGTCAGTCAACATGTTTCTATGATACCATGCACATGCTTGTTATTTTGCTCTTATTTATGCATATGTTTCCTTTTCTGTCCTTTAAACAAATACATAAACAGCCTCAAAAGGAAGTGCGTGATCTTTCAAGAGTGAGGTTTTCTCAGGGTGTCGTTTTGTTAGCGAAAAGACTTAAATTAGCAAATCAGTTCAAGAAGTGGTAATGTGAACCAGCATATTCCATTTCACTTTAGCAATCTGTATTCCAGAAGGAAATCCTGGGAAGCAATCACTGACAATGGGACCTCAATTTAAATTACAAAATAGGCAGTATGCCGAATGCATATAGAACATGTGAGAGATTAAATAGAAGTGTTCATTTGTCTTCATAAGACAATAAAAATGTGCTCTACAAGTAAGGACTGTAGACGCTGTGGTAATGAAAACAATAATTAATATAATTTAAGTTACTATCCCCGGGGCAGTTGTAAATTGATGTGATTAATTATGCCACAAACCTGTTTGTAAATTGATGACATAGGAAGTCATGGAAGTCATCTAGAATAAGTTTCTCCTTTTGAAGCTATTCGGAATTGTATTATGCACCAGCCTATAGCCCCCAATATACAGTCAAAGGTTATTTATGTTAAACTCTATAATTTATATTCTTCAAAGAACTAAGTAACATGAAAGGATGCAGTTAAAACCAATCGATTATTTCATTGTGCATAAAGTTGATTATATATTATAAACCAGAGTTCATTAGTATTAACTTGAATAGACAGCACATACGGTATTTTCCTGCCACTGTAACTCTATTGATTCAAATGAATTACAGCAGCAGGGAATGTATGGCATTGAATTCCTTCTGCTGTTACTATTGGGTCTAGAGAAAAGATGATAATCTGCATGGAAGTTTCATATATATATTAATATATATTTGAATTTTAAGGTTATTTCTCTATTATTTGCCTCTACATCTCAGAGTCACTTTTAATAGATGTAATTAAATGCTGAAAGTCCACCCTGTTCATTTCTTTCAGTTCTTCAAAGATAGAAACATCAGCCAGGGAGATATAGTAAATGAGATGAGTATATGAAAAAAAGGTGCAGAAATCCTTTCTCTAGCTTTAAAAAAAAAAGAACTATGTAATGGTTCCTTCTGCTGCACATCGAACAATTAAAATTTAAATTTTAAAATGTCAAAGTATGTTTAGTTATTTTTTGAAAACTGTAAAATGAAAACAACCACTCAAAATACATTTTTAAACAAAATTTTTTTTCTCTTTTGTTTTCCCCAGTGGAAACATTTGGGTTTTCTGACCATTCTTGTGATATTTGCTCATTGTCTAGGTTTCTGTGATGCAGCCTAGGTTGCATGACCAGTTTTACCCGCTAGAGGTTCCTGATTCCCACTCGCTCTGAGTGAACCTCAGTGGAGCGCATTCCTCTACCCTGCCTCACACAATATCTGACAACTTGAAACTGTCTGAAATGCAGTAATTCTATTTGCTGATTTCTACTTTCTAAACTTCAGGAAAAATAAGATACACTAGGGGAATATAAATAATACCATGCTTTAATGGCATCCTCCACCTGAAAAAATATTCTAGCTTGCACATCTTCATATGTATTTTCCAATCTTAGTTTTAGCTTGCAAGCAGTTTTGATCATTATTTCCACAATGTGTTTTGGCCAAATACAGCAAGGTTTTCTTCATGTATTCTTTATTTTTTCCACTAAAGCAATAAAATTGGAGAGACAGTACAGAATTAGGTGCTGGCAAGTTCTCCCTGTTACTTTGAAATGGTCTAGAGCCTCATAACTAAGCTTTTCATTTGTATTTCCTCATTATAAATTTGCAGATAAAGTACTGGGAGTTTAGCAATGTCAGCACATTTGATTGAAATTTTCTATTAATCTGTTTGTGTGGGGTCTTTCTATTTGCAGAAAGAAAAGAAACCTTTTCTTTCTCTCTTCCTTTTTCTTTTATAAGGAGTATTTTGTGCTCTGACCCAAGAATACTCACTGATACAAACCAACTGATGTCAAGTGTCAAACGAGAGCATGACAAGAGGGTGAGGTAGAGGGGGAAAACGTTAGTAAAGATGACCAAGGCAGTCAAAGTCACTAACTGCATTTCCTAATTAGAGAGAGAAGATGAAAGCACAGCTGCAGACCTGCAGGAAAGCAAAGGTCATCTCTAGCTGATTTCAGTGGAGACCCAGGTGCTGTGTAAGACTGTAATGGACAGTGTCAGCTGTACAGAAATCGCTAATGCCAATATGATGGCATTGCCTGTGTGCAGGTAATCCTGCTTCCTGAAGAGCACTTTTGGGTGCATCAGGTGCTTGGATGGAGGCTGCATCCCTGGCTGCATTGTAGGGACTGGCGGCAGCTCGTTAGTGACTAACGTCCTTGAGTACTGATGTTACTCTGCTGACTTCTGTCAGGAGCAAGGACCAAGTGTTTAACGTGCCAGCTATTAATATTTTTAAATTGTGCTGCTGCTTTATGAAGAGCAGTGATCAGACTTGGGTACCTTGTCTGCTGAGAGAAGGACAGAGCTATGTTGTTTCTACCTCACACGAGATACCATCCAGAGCTCCTGACGTGGTGGAGCAGTTAGCAGCCACCCTTTTGCCACTGATTCAGGCTATTCATCAGGTGCTCGGGTGCTTGGCCACTTCTGTGAAGTGGAAGGGGGGGAAGTAGGAGACCACCTTGTCCTTCCACCTTTGCAGTGCACACCTCTAACTGAGTAGCAAGTCTGCGGTGTAACGTAACGTACTTAATGTGAGATCGTGAATAGAAAGGTCCGATTTCAGAACCGAGATGCCTGCCATTTATTCAGATTTTTCACTTTCAAATATCAAAACACCTTATTCTTTCAGAATTAGAGGTGGACACAAGGAAATTTATTCTGGGTGTGTCTGAGAGCATAGTTCTACTAAATTCTAGAGAAAACAGCAGTTGGCAGTGTTTGTATGAGTAACCTGCCTCTGTTTTGCTCAAGCCCTCCTGGAGACAGCTGTCAGTGGAAGTAACTAATATTTGCTTAGATTTTTTACAAACTGGAAATCCATGTCTATCGTTTTTAATGTTCTAGCCATGAGAAGGCTGACTCATGTGAATGTATTCCATAATCCCACTCTGTTCTGTAATTGCTATTTACTTATGGATGCAAATTACAAAGAAGCATAATGAGAGCCATAGCTCTCCAATTTGTTTCACTTTAAACAAGTAAACCAAAAAAAGAGTCAAAGCAATGGCCATGTTTTTCTCTATGATTCAATACAGTTCAAGGCTCTGCATATTAGAGTTCATTGAAAATACAATTAACTGGCATAAGCTTTAAATCAGATGATAAAACATGGGAAAATCTATACATTCCATAGTTTTGAATCAGAAAGAAGGATTTTCTATGCCAACAAGTAGTGGGAAAGTCAGCATATCAGGTTCAGTGGTTTGGGATGTGGTTCCCTCTATTTACCTTGCCAAAGATTTTGGAGTTCCTCTCCCTGATAACTGGCAAAGCAACTGAGAGCTTTACCATGGTTTGGACTTCTTTTTCCTGTCCATTATCTCCTGTGAAGGAGATGGAAATGATGGGAAATGAAAGTTTAGGAGAAATTGCCTTCTCTTAGTTTCTCTTCTCTTCAGTGCATTCAGGCCCTACCTACATGGTCCTAGTGAGAATGCAAGTTGGGGAGGGAGAAATGAGCAGACAGACACAGAATTATTTGGTGTATATGGCTGAATGGTCCAAAGAAAATGGGAGAAAATCCTTTTCTTGAATCAGAATTCATCCCAGATGTTGTTCAGAATTAGCTGCATTTGCATTAGAAAATGTAAACATGTTTTGCTTTCTTTTTGCAGAGCAAAGGTTCTTCCAATTTGTTATAAGCTGTTAAGCAAATACTCTAGGGGCTGTATTATGTCCACATATAGTGGGATAATTACATTGTTGTTCTACTAAAATGGAGTTAAACAAAGATTAAAAACAGCCTTGAAATGAATTGAATGTGGTTTTCTGTTTCTGGTATGGAAAATAGAAAGAATAACAAATTATTGAACAAATTTTCTCCTGTTTGCTGTGCCACACCATTAGAACATATAGGATGATGATGAATATAATCAAGGCAGTATTCTGTCTGTTAAAGATGACCTTAATATACAATGACCTGTTAAAAAAGCAATGACCAATATAGTTAATAATAGACTTGTATGTTATGTAGATGAAGTAATTAATGTTATTTCAACTCTGACAAAAATAACTTTTATTTGGACAAAAAAATTGAACTAATGGTGTGTTTTGTAGGTCACTTCTCAAGAATCTGGAACCAAACCATTGACCTTCACATTTGTACCATCCATTGGAAGACTTCCAACTCATTTTGAGGTTGTAGACGTCTCTAAGTTCCTTGTGACAATTCCAGAGGAGCCAAAGGATCTGAGCAATCAAGAAATTATAAATAAGGTAGATTTTTCTTTGTGCTAATTTTTTCACTCTTTCAAAAGATACAGAAAATTGTCCTGAGCGTCGCTGAAGTCCATTCCCTTGAACTGTTTCTTGGCTTCTGCTTTGCTTTAATTACCCAGCCTACCAGAGATGCTGAATCATTGCGCAAGAGAAGGCTGATATCTGCTCAACAGCCTGTTTTGCCTTTGGCAGAGTTTATATTGGAAGGAAACCCTTGCCATCTCAATACTGTCCTCTGTCAGTCATGCAAGGGCTATATTCTTGGCAGACAAAGGGGGATTCCTTCCTGATCTTCACGGGAACGAGAGTGGTGTGTGTTATCACATGGGAATCGACCAAGAGTTGGTCACTGGATCCTGATTTCTGCAAATGCCAGTGCTGTGGCCTCCAGCAAAGGTGCCAGTCTCTTTCATAGCTGTGTAGTAACGCATCAAAATGAAAGCTTGCTTTTAATTTTTGAAAGCTTGTCTCCACGATTTCCTGTAACGGTGAAGCTGGCAGCACAACATTCCTGGTCCTCCTGCCTTTAGCCAGCCCATAGTGTTTGTTATGCCTTTCCTGTCTCACAATGCTTAACAGCCTCTTATTTTTTTCCATGCTGCTTGAGAAGAAACTGGAACCCTCAGATTAGTAGTAATGCTTATGGCGATTCTGCTCTTGTGCAACAGCCCCTTCTCCGGGACATTGCTGGGGCTGCAGTTCTTGGTGCTAATAGACTTTTCACAGGAGTTCACAGTCCTCTGACCTGAACATATTCCAAGATTTTCAGTGACTGTACATTATCTGACTAAAAAAGGGGTAGGTCTGGACATGTTTGAAGAGACATGCGTTGGAATCTTATCCTTGGGATGTTTAACTCATGAGTTACATTCCAGCCACTCAGTATTGGTTTTGCTGTAAGTAGTGCCCTGGGCAAGGCAGAATCAGGTATTCCTGACCTCTGTCTCCCTGTGTTTCTCTGTAGGCAGAGAAAGCTTCCCTGGCAGATGATGCAGTACTGAGGCCTTCATAGCACTGATTACTGCCTTTTCTAAAATGTATGGAACCTGCACAATATTTAAAAAAATCTGAACCAATATCAGATAATGAAAATAACACCTCCAAAGTCATACTGGTGGTATTTCCCTTTATAGTCCAATATTTTTTTAAAGAACTGAGCTCCAGGGACTCGTGGAGCTGCCAGTGGAAATTTGACATTACTGTATTCCTCAGGCAGGATTCAAATATGAGCCCCATCTACAGGCTTTGTCTTGCAGTACACTATATTTCTATCATTTTACCTGATCCCTCCTTCAAGAGAAGTATGATTTACCGTAGCAGTTTCAATATTGAATGATTTGGTGATGTGCGTGTTGTATGCCCATTTTGCACTACTCCTCCTCTCATCCAAACCATGCTTGAGAAGTTACATACTGGAAGTGGAAATTGCAGAAAATACTAAGAACAATTGTGGTCTGTGCTGAGAAGCTTGAACATACAGTAAAGCTGTCTGACCTCAGATTCTTTGTCTGCTCTCTTCAGAGAATGCCCTGTCTTAAAGGCCTTTGTTTCTTCATTAATATGTATAGGTTTTGTCCCAGATTTGTCTGTCAGACTCCTCTGAGGAGCATTGTCCGCTCCCGTGGATCCCGCGGTCGGGATGCCTTCCCATCATGTCTGGCGTAGTCGGGTCTGACAGCTCATTCGGCTTGACTGCACCCTCCTCCTTGTTTCCCGTGCCAGCCCCGGGCTCAGGCCATCGTTGTGCTCAGAGTCCCCTGTTGCTCTGTGAGACACCGGGAAGGCGGCCCCCGCAGCATCGGCTGGGGGGCTGGAAGTGGGGGGCTCCCTGGGGAGCTGGTTTCTCCTGGGTGCTCGTGTCCAAATTCTTCATTCGCCCTCTGCACTTTTGGTAGCGCAGTGCCAGCCACCACTGCAAGCCAAAATTACTTTGCATTTTGGGGAACACAAATAAAATGCAGTTAATTGGGATCTTTTTCCTGGTATCTTTTGCAGTCCCACGCAGTTTCTGATGAGCTGGCCTTAAAGAGCAGGGCCAGACAAGACCGTGTGTCTGCCATCTGTACAGACAGCACCCGAGCAGCTTTACAGTCCCTGGGCTGTAACTCAAGCAGAGGAGAAATGCAGGAGAATGACCTTTTCAAGGCTGAGTTTATCCTGATTACCGACTCTGGTGATGAAGATGAAGTAGCCGCTGCCTCAAACAATGTTCATCGGCCTTCCAATGGCTATGGTCCCATCAGCGCTCAGCTTCTGGCCACGTCCCACGTTTCCCCTGGCACTGGGGCAGGAAAACCTCCTGGAGATGGGCACGTTCCAGGTGCTGCACTTTCCCACGGCACTGCTGATCCGCAAAAACATCAGGTAACCTGCTCTTTAAACTCTAGAGCTAACCTTTGCTTTCTAAAGCTTTCAGGATATGGACACTGACTCAGTTTGTAAAGCAGCTTGGCCAATTTATTCTTTAATTAGCATTTTTGTTGGCCATGCCTGTAATGTTTCAGCTCTAAGGAGCTGTCCCAACCCTTCTGACTTACTGCCTCTCCCCATGGCTCAGGTGTATAAATGGAGCAGGTAATGCAGATCTATTGTTCTTTCCTTCAAGAGCAGGTCATCATGACAGCAAGTTAATCAGAAGGCTTTAGACTCCTAGCTAGTCTAAATTGGCTGAGGTTGTTGAAATCAATGCAGCCTGTAGATCATTTGAATTATTAGCATCAGACTTCCCAGACCTATTTTTATCTCAGCACCCGCTGCAGCCCTTTGTGCTAGAGAAAGAAGCTGTAAAAATCCTATTATTCTGATTGTTAGTTAGCACTGACTTTGCACAGGTATAATGAACTAATGAAGTTGAAAGGTGCATTTTATGTTGAACGTTATAGGGCACATTTATTGATTTATTCAAATTTTTAAATTGTCAGTGGGAGAATTCAAAAAAGGGTCTTTGAAATGTTTCATTTCCTTTGACCTCCACAGGGTTTCCATCAGTTGAAAATGCCATTCTTCATTGATAATTTAAAAAGAAGTTGAGCATGGCTACTTTGTCTCTGAAAATGAATACGACTTCCTATCTTGTGTTGAAATACTTGTGCTACTCAATTTTTCATCAATTTCAGTGTCAATTTTTGATTGAGGAAATTGCGAATGAGAAATCCAATCTGATTTGGACTTTACAGCATTATGAAATATTCATTTCTTCCCAGAACCTCCCAGTGGTCAGTGAGAATTTTACCTGAGGGAGGTGTAAAGACATAGATAAATCTATG